TCAAAGCACTATTACTAGCTTGTTCTTCTTGCTGTACAGCCTTTTGATTTCTGGTGTAATGGCAACTTAGTAATCTTCTATACTGTTGTCAGAGTATAGAAATATTCTGTTGTCAAAGCCATATGTATAAGAATATCTTTATTAGAGGGGAACTTGATTTTCTGGAGTATTCCTTTGCTATCATAGTTGTTTAGTTAGAAGAGATTCCTCTTAACTGTGTAGACCAGTAAAAAATATTAATCGTCGTGAAGCTTGGAATGACTCTTATTTGTTTATTCCAAAGTTCATTTTCATCTGACTGTGGAATATATACATGGTAGAGGCTCTTTTAGTTTTCACTGTTTCTCTCTCTCTCTATGAATTTTTTACCAAACCATTTCTCTTTGGATAGGAAATGATAGTTGCCGGTACTAAGCATGGTTCAGCAGAGGTGAGAAATTGAATTATAATAGTTTTGCTCTGATGACTTTCAGTTAGTGCGCTAAATTTGTATCATGTATCCTTGAAAAGATATAGTTTTATGTCCTGATCTACTTTATTGCCGCAGCGTGTGAAGGAGAAGAGGTTCTTGTATGATATTGTTGCAAATGGACGAAATGGAATCGATGTTGACAAGTAAGCGTGTTTTTTTTTACTTCCACTTTACTTGGTTTGAACGCTGTTTGCTTTCTGGTATTGAACATCCCTTAATGTTGTTCCCAAATCTCACACAGATTTGACTACATAGTTCGTGATTCTCGAGCTTGTGGTCTTGGATGCAGCTTTCAGTTTGAGAGGTATGTATCACATTCTGTTCCTTCTGCAATGTTATTAGAAATTTGCTGAGCTGCATGTTCAAAACGGCATACTCCTTACTTCTTACATCACAATCCAATTGCTCTCCTCTAGAGGTCATTTGACAGCTGAATATTCGTGTGCTATATTCATAACTTACATTCAGCAGACTCCTGAGTCATGATACATACATGTTTACCTCTTGCTTGCAGGTTGCTCCAAACAATGCGAGTTATGGATGATGAGATATGCTACAGAGCCAAGGAATGTCAGTACAAATCACATATGTGCTTTCACTGAACTTCCATTGTTATTATCTTCTCATGTTCTTGTTTCACAACTCTGCCAGATCTTACTGTCCACAAGTTGTTCAATACCCGTGCTGATCTACATCGAACAGTCTATACGCATGCAAAAGTGAAGGTGCTTTGTTTAGTCTACTGTGATTTCTAGTCGCACTGAATATGATTCTTGTAGGATGTTGCTGAGCATAGAATATTGCAGTGGTGTTTGACAGAAGATATGTTTTGCAGGCAGTAGAGCTTATGGTGGTTGATGCACTGCTGAAAGCAAATGATTATCTTCAAATTGCTTCTAAGATTCATGACCCTGCTGAATTTTGGAAGGTAAAAATTTGCTTGCATTATCTATAGTTCTATACCCTAGTTCCTCTCGTATAACCCGTCTGTATCTGCGGTACTAACATTGTATTCTTACGAAAACCCAGTTGGATGACACTATAATAAAAAGAATTGAAACTGATCCTTACCCAGAGCTGAAAGAATCTAGAGACTTAATTTTGCGGATAAGGAGGAGAGATCTCTATCAGGTTTGTGTACAGTCTATATTTTGGTATTGGGTGATATATTACAGTTTGTAGACAATAACCTCCTGCTTTTTTTTTTTTTTTTTTTCCAATTAGTTCTGCAACGAATTTACTGTTCCAAGAGATGATCTTGAACACTTCAAGGAAGTTACTGCCAAAGATATTATATGTTCACAGGTACAAGGACAAAACATTGGCCATGATTATTCTTGCTGGTTTTCTTTCTAAATTGTATTTCCTGTAGGTGTCTGGTGGGGTGACATTACAAGAAGATGACGTTGCTGTGAGCAATATCAAGATTGACCTGACACAAGGCAAGAATAATCCACTTAAAAGGTACATAAGACTGGTCTATCAAAATTGGTTAATACCTTTAATGGTCTTAGTGACACTCTTCATTCGTGCTAACATTTGTCTTCTGCTTATGTCTCCAGCATCAAATTCTTTCAGGTATGAAAATCAATTTTGTTTCTATCTTGGTTTTTTTTTCCTTCTTCTGTTTTGCTGTTAAGTTAGGGGAAAAGTCCATTTCCATGAAAGCTGGTTTCCTATTTTTCTTTGTTTGGTTTGTATAAGAGGATATTTTCTTGTATTGAAATTCTTGAAAATAGATTTTACAAAGGATGGAAAAGATTCTCCTTACTGAGGTAGAGATGTCTCATTTTCCATTGCCTTGATTTTCTTCTGTCCTTTCCATCGCTTTCTCTCCATCTCCTGTTCCCTTTCCTCAGCTTTTTAAGTGAACCAAACAAAGATTAGTCTGAAAGTTCTCTGTTAAGCCATCTTTGATTGATGACGTTATTTCTTCGGTGCTTCAAATAAACTGGATATAGCTGTTTTGATATGCCGAAGATGCTGAACTAATGGGAAGTAGTACTGTTTTATTGGGCCAACCAGAGCATGTGGGGAACAAAATTCAGTTTATACCACGCACATTACCTATGCTTAACATTATGCATTATTTTCTTATTACCAGAATATGCTGTCTAACATTTTTGTGTGATGCATTTCAGGACTATGATGTTGATCAGAACTTCACTATTAGCGATCAAAGCATCAGCCAGCTACTGCCTTCATGCTGTCTAGATAGAATAGTCCGGGTGTACTCTAAGAAGCCTGAACTGGTTCGTAAAAAATATGACTATGTTATACTTGTTTCCATTAATAATATTCCTTACCAGTACTGAATTAAGATAAAAAATTCATGCAGGTTGCAGTGGTGTCTGAAGCATTTGAGAACTTTCAGCAGCAGAAATATGGGAGAAAAACTCAAGTACATGGAACACCACAGAAGAAGAAGCAGCGAAGAGTCTGAAGCTGTCAACTTGTGAAAATTGTCAAGTGTACATACCTGAAGACCAAGATGTATATCATAGTATCTTTTGTAGGTAATATGCAGACTAGATTGAGCTGAAGGGGTTTTAACACGTGACTAAGAGTTCATGGTGTTGTACATCTGCACATTGGTGACAGAAAAGTTCTAGTCTCGTAGCTGAAGTAAGAAAACTAGCAGTAGCAGTAAATGACACTGCAATTTTTGGGAGCTTAATTTTGGTCTTATATTGAAGACCTCACTGAATTTACAAGATGAGATTGAAGAACTGGACATCACATTTTTGGCTACGTCTGGTGTTGCCGTCAGTACGTTATTTGCAGCGCTATCACAAGTCTGGAATAGACAGCACATTCCTCATTATTCTTATTGTAAGAAGAATTGATGTTTGTACATATCCAAAACTCCAGATATATACACACTAGTGTATACGAATTCTGAAGTATATTTGGTGGTTTATATGCAGTCTAGCAGACATTGGTAACAACAGTTACGAGTTCTACACTAAATTGTGCAGTATAGTGTTGCAAATTACTGAGTTTTATTATACTGAGTTTTCGAAGCGTCCGAACTTCCACTGTTCCTAAACGATTTCCTATGGTGCTCTGTATTTCAAGGTGGAATATTACAGATGTTTTTTTTTTTTTTTTTTTTTTTTTTTTTTTTTTTTTTTTTTTTAAACCACCAGTAAGGGAAAATTACATTAAGTAAGGTCAAGTTCCGCCAAAATTACCGTAATAAGCTTTGAGGAAATGGACCCAAACAAACCTGTTCGTTACAATCATTAGTTTCCCACCTCGCAACAACATGAGACAACTTAAAAGCTACAAAAGAAAGAGAAATAACAAAAATATTTTCTAACAGCAAACAGATGTCTAATTACCAAGCTAAGCTTGGTAAGTGGAAAAGATTGTACCTTTCAACCTTGAGGTTGGGGGTTTAATTCCCAGTAGAGACACTTTGACAGTGAGGATTCCTTACCCTTCCCCCCCCCCTCACTCTTAAAGTGTCTAATCTGCAAATACCGGACTAAAAAAACCATGAGGATTGAGGTTCGGTCAGGGTCCTTCTTGAACAGATGTCTAATTGTTAGGTTTTCTAAGAAATATATATAGAAAAGTATTTTTTTTTATCAACTATTTCTTTATGCTACATTGCGTCATTGCTACTTTTCCAAGTAAATTTTAAAATTTAGAAAATTAATCTTTTTTCTTTTACAACAATTTGAAAATTTTAAGGTGATTACATTGCTTATCAATTATTTTATACTAGAGTGTGATATACGTTTTACAAATTCTCTAAAAAGACGGGTTGTTAAATTAATCTCTAACAGCTTAAGCTTTTCCTTCATTCAATCAACATTTTTATAATACAATAGTTTCCTAACCTCTTTACACTAGGAAACACAATAAGATAGAAATCTAATATATATAAATAAAGTAGGCATTTTTGGAGAGCATTTGGAGCGCCACGTAAGAGATATACTTATTTCGACCAATAAGAAGAAAGATTTGTATTTTATTTTTGAATTAAAAAATTATGTCGTCACCTAGATAAAAGTAACGAATTAGATTTGATATATCTAAAATTTTAATGCCGCGTATATTATAATCCACGAATTAAATTATTTTAATGATAAAAAATAAAGTAAAAATAAATAACATAATAAAATTTTGATTATTATTTATAAAGTACGTCACCTAGGATTACGTTTATCAAATAAGGAAAAAAAACTTAATAAAATTAATCCTTAAAAAAAACTTAATACTTAAATATTAATAAGAAAAAAACTTAATAAAATTATCATATTAAAAAATCACATTGCAATATGATAAGGATGCACTAACTTGGTGCCAAAAAAAAAAAAAAAAAAAAAAAAAAAAAAAAAAAAACCTTAATACTTAAACTTAATATTCAATTGAAATAGAAGACAAATGGTAATTAATATTTTAATATATTTGTATATATTATTATTATCAATTACGATAAACTAAAATTTATTATTGTAAGATAATTTATATTTGATTTATTTTAGATTTATTAGTAAATTATTTGTATTTTGATATCATGGTTAGGGGACAACGAATCCAATTAAAGATTTGGGATAATGTATTTCTTGATTATTCAAGACAAATAGACCTACTTGCTGATTCTACTAAGCCTTTTGGTATAGTTGTTACTTCAACAATGGTCAAATATTTTAATGGTAAGTATCATATATTAGTCTTTATAATAACTTTTTTTTTAATATTTACAACGAATAACCTAATTTGCCATGCATTGTCATTTTGTTTACAGGGAAAATTAGTCTAAATACTTCTACATCAACCAAAATTTATATTGATCTTCAAATTTCTGAGGTTGATGAATTGAAATCTTTATGGAGGTATGTTATTTCAATAATTTTAATTTTTATGCTATTCTTTCTACATAAATATATCTTTTATATATGATCATTATAATGCAGTGAGAAGTTAGATAATGCTACCATTGGAAAACTTGAAATTCAACATATCAACATTGGACTGGAAGAAATCAACTCTAAAAAAGTTGATATTTTAACGCTTACGAATCATGTACAAAAAAACTTTAGAAAAGGTATTTTAATACATCACTTTATTATACTTAATATGATAAATTTTAAATTCAAACCTAATTTTATTTTAAAATCATATAGGATTTGATCTTCTATTGCATGGCTAAAGTGGATACAATTATGAGTGAAAATAGTTGGTATTATATCTTATGCCCAACATGTAAAAGACGTATCACTCCAAGAAAAACAGATTTTTGGTGCATTCCTTGTGAGAAACAAATTGAAAGGCCCACCCCAAGGTTTGTTTCAAATTTCTTCTTTACCCATATTACAATAATAGATTAAACGAACAATAGATTATATAATGCCTAATTTCTTCATGCATTTTTTTTTTCTCAATCAGATATCGATTGGAGCTTAGTGTTATCGATCATAGTGGATCAACAATATTTGTAGTTTTTGATGAAGAAGCTAAGAAACTAATAGGACAAGATGCAAGTACTCTTTTTGAGGCTCATACTTATGAAAAGGTTTTAATAATTGCTTTTAACAATAGTTAAAAGTTTAAATTGTTCTACAAATGTTTTTATCACTTATTTCAATTAAAATTGACATATCAATGATCATAATGATGATGATAATAACAATGAAGATGATGATACTCAAATTCCAAAGATGATTGTAAATATCATTGGAAGTGAGTGAGTGTTCAAAGTTAAAATCACCTTTTATAATCATACAGCAATTCGATAAACTTTTACGGTGATGAGAGTTTTTGACAAAAGTGTCATTGAGGTACTAAATAATTGTTACAAGTATTTATTGTTTATCTAAAAGTCATGAATTTAAAATTTTAATTTCTTAAAACTTTACATAAATAATTTTGATGTAGAATAAAGATGTCATAAAAGATAATGAAGATACTTCAAAAGATGAAGCTACAGTCATTGAAGAAACCGCAAAACGCCCTTTTAATAATATCGATTCAACGGAAAAGGATCACGATTCATCCAACCAAATCACATCAAAGAAGATAAAGGTATATATTTTTTAGAATATATATAATTCATTTAGATATTTCTTACTATTTCTAATTTTATCTTATAGATTATTTAATAGTATACTAATATTAACACTTTAATTTGTGTACTTTGTGTATGATGCAGGTTTAGTTTTATGAATCAAGAATTCTCTCGAAACATAATAAAACTCCATGTTCAAGAAATAGAGATTTAGATGATAGTTTTTATTTTATATATGTTTTATTATTAATAGCAAATCATATACTTAATACTTTTGTTTACCTTTATTTTTGAATTGTTATATCAATTTTATAGTTTACAAATGATAATAATAATAATTTATTATTATATAATAAGATACAAATCTTAAATAATAATAAAAACAAAATCGTGCATCACACGGGCTTCATACCTAGTAATAAGATACACTAGGAATATTGCATAATATCCCAATAATTTCCAAACTCTATCTTAACATGGGTGTACGTTAATTTATTGTAAGACGGGTTAAAGTTATTTTAAAAGTATTTAAAGTTACCATTTATCCTACAAAAGTTATTATTTTTCTAATAATAAATGTTATCTTACAAAAAACTTATAATGTATTATATTAATCATATTAGCCTTTATAATATATATGTAATCATGAATCTATAAGAAATTACACATTAAAATAAAATTCAAACTAACGACAAATTGAAGTTACCCTTTACGAGGGTTAAAGTTACCATAAAAATAAGGCCAAATTAGAAAATAACACCTGCTAAAGACCCCGATTTTGATAATAACACCTGTTGAAAAAAAGGTTTTATTATAACACTAACAAAAATCCCAAAATTTTGGTTTCACCACCCACTAACGGACATTTGGATGGAAACCGTTAGTGGGGCCCGCTATGTACACGTGTCAGCTGTGTATTGGTATAAAAAAAATTAAAAAAAAAAACAAAAAAACCTAACCCCCTAACCCAACCCGCCCCACCACCGGCACCACCTGCCCCAGCCAAGCCAGCCGCCGGAACCCTCCTAACACCCAGGCAGCCCCAGAAACCTCCTCCCCTAACACCGACAACCCCTTCCCTAACGCTGGCACCACCCGATATCCCCTCCCCTAACACCAGCACCGCCCTAAACCCCCTCCCCTAGCACCGACAACCCCCAAACCTCCTCCCCTAATACCGGCATTCCCCTAAACAGCCAATTTCGTTCGCCTCCACCGCAAAATTGACAGATCTGGGGCTTCTAAGGTCGATTTCGGCCGGTTTGAAGGTGAGGGGTAATTCCAGGGGTGGTTTTCGGCGAGGGGGCGAAGGGGCTAGGTGGTTTTCGCGGGGGGGCTGTGGTGGGTGGGGGTGATTTTTTCGGGGAGAGGGAAGGGGGAAGGGGATTTGTGGGGGGGACTAATGTCGGTGGGGGTGATGGCCGGTGATTCCGCCGGTGAAGGAAGGGTTTCCGGCGGTAGTGGGGGTCTCCGGCGGTGGAGTGACGGCCGCCGGTGGTGGCTGGGTTAGGGTTTAGGGATTTTTCTTTGAAATTTACTTTTTATTTTTATTTATCATTTTTTAAAACCAATACCTTATTGACACGTATACATGGCGGGCCCCACTAACGGTTTCCATCCAAAAGTCCGTTAGTGGGTGGTGAAACCAAAATTTTGGGATTTTTGTAGGTGTTATAATAAAACTTTTTTTTCAACAGGTGTTATTATCAAAATCGGGGTCTTTAGCAGGTGTTATTTTCTAATTTGGCCTAAAAATAATTAAAGTTACTCTAAATTTGACAATCTTACAATAAAATTAACGTACACCCACCTTACACAAGACTTATTCTATATGTTTTACAGAAAGATATTAAAAAAAAAAATCTAATAACAAAAATTGTATTTTAAATACGGGAAGTTGATTTTAATATAGTAATTAACTCTTATATGTGGTCAGGCACACCACATGGCTAACTATTATGGGAGTTACTTTGTCAATGTTATAGGGGTTACCCGTTTAATGTTATAGAGGTTACCATGTCAGTGTTATAAGCAGGGTTACTCCATTAGTGTTATAGTATGGGGGTTACTTTATTCTTTTGCAAGCAACCACACTGGTGGTTTGTCGCACAGAAAACATGTTGCATATTTTTTTTGATGTTGATGATTATTGAATGATTTTTAAAATTATTTGATAGTGTTATAGGCATTACTTTGTTCTTTTGCAAGTAGCCACACTAGGGATGGCAATATTATATGGATATCCGCTAACCCGCTCCACCCGGTTCAAATAAATGGACGAAAATGCGAATTAAATGGATGAGAAGCGGGTGATGGATGAAGCGGATGATGGATCGGATCAGATGTGGATGATACTATTCTTCACCGCTAACCATCCACCCACCCGTATAACATATATTAATTTTTTTTTTCTAAAAATTTTAATAATAAAATATGAAAAATGTGCAAGAAATTTACTTTTTTTGTTGCAAATTAATTTTTTCAAACAATATGTTGTTATTGTTTCCTTTTTTATTAATAAAATAAAAAAAATTGTATAAATAACCGAATATTAAAGTTTATGAGAATTTTTTTCACTTTAAATACTCATCTATTAATCATCCGCTCCACCCGTTTCATCCGCAGATGATGGACGGACGGATATGCATGATGGTTGAAGTGGATGACGGATGGATGTGGGTGAAGCGATTAGAATAATGAATGGATGCGGGTGAAGCTCCACCCGATTCGAAACCGATCCATTGCCATCCCTAAGCCACACTCTGTGGCTAGTCGCATCAGTGGCGGATCTAGGGGTACATAGAGGTATAGCTGTACCCCTGGAAAAAAAAATGATAACAAAAGAGATCTCCTGTATCTTATAGGCAGTCTCTTAAGTAATGTTATGTAGTTTGCTCGGCCTGCCTATTTTGTGTTAAATTCTAAGAGACCGCCTATTTAAAAAACTGGTCTCTTAGGTGATATTTTTAATATTTTCCACGCCAGACTAGTACTTTCAAAGAGACCTATTGCTACAAATAACAGGTCTCTTAGGTGACATTGTTAATTTTTAGGGTTTTCTACCTAGTAACCTTGTAGTATTTACTTTTCAAAGTTGTGCCTCCCGCTTTTCAAACTTCCACGCTGTAACATCAAGGTACATTAAGTGATTACGCTGTAACCTTGGCGTTAACCTTCTATTAGTTGTTGACGTTAGTGGGGCCCACTTTACACATATTAAAAAAAGAATCTCGATTTGCGTTCCGGGCCGTTAGAAGTTTTAAGGGCCATTTTAACCCTTAAGGATCCAAATTGAGCTCGGATTTGAAAAAAAAAAAAGAAAAAAAAAAACGTAGAATTCCCGTTTTGTGAATTCGGATTTCCGTAGTTAAAATTAGAATTCACAAAACGAGGCTTTTACGTTTTTTTTTTTTTTGTCAAATCCAAGCTCAATTTGAATCCTTAAGGTACAAAATGATCCCTAAAACCTTTAAGGGATATTTTTCAGCACGCAAATCGAGATAAAAATATTGGTCCCACTAACGGTGACCCCGTTAATGGTAGGATAACGCCAAGGTTACAGCGTAATCACTAAATGTACCTTGAGGTTACAGCGTGGAAGTTTGAAAAGGGGAAGGCACAACTTGGAAAAGTGAATACCACAGGGTTACTATGTAGAAAAACCCTAATTTTTTCCACCGTAGATTAGTACTTTTGATCAAAGAGACCTACCATTACAAATAACAGGTCTCTTAGATAATCTCTTTTTTTAACTCACAGACATATTTAGTTACTCAATTATAAGCCTTGTTGATGGAAGATAGGCTGTATAGTACATGTAAATACTAATACAATAGTGAAATGGTTTATTAATTCAAAATTTAGTTAGAAAAAAATTATTACACTCCACATATTACTTTGTACTTTGTAATTTTTTTTAATTTTTTATTAAACTATTTTGTACCCCCATTCCCCAAATCCTAGATCCGCCATTGAGTCGCATAGAAAACATGATGTATATATATTTTTGGTTTTGATGATTATTAAATTAATAATAAGGTATGTATTTATTAACTTTTAAAAAATATTTAAAAAACAATTGGAAGATTTTTTAAAAGGAAAATAGTGAAACTTACGGAAAAAAATGAAGTGCTCATAATTTATAAATTGAGTTCCTTTTAACATTAGGGTTTCTAAAACTATGGGGTTTTTTTTTCGTAATATTAAGTAAAATGGATAGTAGGTGTGTAATTAGAAAAAACAAATAGTAGAAGTGGAAGTTAATTTGAGGTTTATTTTATAAAATAAAATAGAGAGGTGGAAGTTATTTGAAGGATAGTGCCTTATTGTCGATGATATTTTTCAGATTGTTGAATCTTTTGATTTAGGTATGATTTCTCATGTAAAACGTGTAGGAAACACTGTAGCCCATTTAATTGCTAGCTAGATTGGATACTCGTAGCAATGCCGAACTTGTTTGTATGAATACGTTTCCAGAAAGGATTTCTACTTTGGCGGCAAACGATATGATATAATATGCCATCCTAATGTTTTCCCTCAAAAAAAAAAAAAAAAAAAAAAAAAAAGTGCATGAGAATTGAGTATTGGCCTTTGGAGGGTGGTGGTTAAGTGCTAAAAAATATTCTGCAATTATATAATAGATAGATTAACTAAAAGATTTCTTAATTTATCTAAGACTAAAACAAATCTATCTTTTGATAGATTTGAATTTAAAAACAAATCTATCTTTTCAAAAATATATATCAACCAAAAACTTAGAAAAATCTTTAGAAAACAGCCTATAATAACAAACAACCTACACCAAACTCCATGTTTAGTAGCTTCAGTAGAAAAATGGAAGCTACAACGATATTAGACTCCGAAACTATTGATTTGCGTATGTTAAGAGTGAAGAGTGTGATTAGCCAAGGCTCTATTAGTTCTGTGTTCAAAGCATCCTATAATGGCCAAGAAGTTGTAGGTCAGTACATATATACAATATAATTATCTTTATTTTTTTGTTTTTTATGCACCCAACTTAATCAATCGTTTTTTTTTTTTTTTGGTAATGAAATATAGTTAAAGTACTTGTAGTTGAACAAGTATGCCAAAGGGTAAAAGATTCAGTGAAAAAACTTTTTGATCAGGAGGTTTCAATGTGGAGTAACTTGGATCATCCTAATATCATCAAGGTAATTTGAATCTTTATTATTATTATTTTTTTTAATCCTATTAAAGTTTTAGAGATTTCTTTTATTAATTCCTATAATTTAGAATAATCTTAACATTGTAATTGTGTTATTATTGAAAGGGGTTTGAACTTTGAAGTGTTGTAAATTCAAGAAATTGATAAAAGTTGAACTTATCTTAGTTATTGTCAAAAGTTTAGATAATTCATGTTAATTTTTTCTCTTATTGGTGATTGTCTAAAATTAGGGCTTTTTTGGTATATCTTAAGCACATGCATGCATATATATTCTTTTTCGTTGAAGAAGATGCATGCGTATACTATTAGACTATAATTAGTAGCTATAATACTGTGGAATAGAAAATAATGAATATATCTAGTGTTGATTACTTGATTAGTAGTTTTTTTTTAGAGAAAATGAAGTTTACAAAATTCTTTAACTTTTAATCTCGCGCAGTTCATAGGAGCATCAAGAGACCTATATTACATGCTTTCAGAATATCTTCCCGGAGGCACACTCAAGTCATACTTAAAAAGAAATTCTAGGACAAAACTTTCTCTAAATATAGTTATCATGTTAGCGTTGGATTTGGCAAAAGGGTAAGACTCCTAATTACCATAATTAAGTTTACGTACAATATAACTTCTTATGTTGTTAATTATATGCATGTCATTGGTGGACTGTTAGCTCGATCATTAATATCTATTGTACTCTAGGTTATCATTTCTTCACTCGAAAATGATTGTGCACGGCGATGTGAAGACTGAAAACATGCTTCTCGATGAGAAAGGTCACTTAAAGATTGCAGACTTTGGAGTAGCTCGCCTTGTCTCTTTGGTACAAGGGAAAATGATAGGACAGACTGGAACACTAGGCTATATGGCTCCTGAGGTAAATGCAAAACTAGTGATAGTATTCTCAATTTATGTCGGACTTACAAAAGTTTGCTAATTAAAGGTGTTTAAGACATTTCACCCCTTGTTAGTTGCATAAATTATCCAAAAGCTCTAGGTTCTTAATTGATTTTGTCTTTCACATGTGCTTAAGGGAAAACCTTACGACACCAAAGGTGATGTGTATAGCTTTGGAATTTGCTTGTGGGAAATATATTGTTGCGAGATGCCATTTTCACCTTCAAAGTTTAGTAAGGTACGTAACTTTTAATATTGTTAATCAGTCATTAGGCACAAAATTATAAAATGATTTCAAGAATAAACCAATAAATTTATATGTGATAATTGTAGGACTTGAGACGTGCTATTCCCAAGTGTTGCCCGAAGTCATTAGCTAAAATCATGAAAAGATGTTGGTCGTCAAACCCGATGAAGAGGCCAGAGATGAAAGATGTAGTTTCCAGTTTGGAATGTATAGACACGTTTAAAGGGTACAGTATGAGATATACTGATCAAGCTCATTGCTCGTGCTTCTTTCCACAAGTCTACTGAGATCCGGCCAGCCAAACTATGACTTGATGCTTCCTCGTATATTTATGGATTAATTCATAGCTTAATATGATAAGCTGAAATGCCTTATTTTGTTACATTAATGTATTGATTTTCACTGCTAAATGTTGTACCTAAGCATCTGCCAAGAAATGACAAGGTGATTTCAACAGTTTTACGTACATTCTCCCTCAAATTTATTAAAAGCAGGGGCATAATGAGGAACGAATTGGAGGATATGATACCAACCCCGGAGCAGGAGAGGCTTTCTCAGCCAAAAAGAAAAAAAAGAAGGGGGGGGGGGGGTGGTGGATGGTACAAGCAACTTAGAGCAAACTCTTTTGCCATTTCATAGGAAATTGTATACATCAAATTGTAGATGTCCCTTGACATAATCCAGAGTCTCAAAAACGGCAAAGCAGATAGCCAGATACTGGCATACCGCCATGTAATGGACACAACAAAGGCACAATTCTGCAGAGCAAAGAAGAAAATTTTATTACAACTTGCTGCTTGTCTTCTTTACAAAAGTAAACACCTAAATGTTGCACCTGGCGAATATGAAGATGGGAAGGCTTTCAAAAGCCACAATCGCTGGTTACAGAAATCCTACCCCATTCTGTACAATGGACGAGAAAACCATTAAGAAGCTACCTCCTGGTACTCAGAAAGGAATAGCGAGTTGGCTAAAAAGGCTTGATATTCAGCCCAGTAACTTCTTACATTATAATGACAAGATTCCAAATCTACTTCTATCTATACAAAACGAACTAGGAAATGTATGTGCAGCTCCTATGCTAAGTGCCTCATTGCCGCTATAAACTGTAGGGAGAGAGATCTCCAAGCTCTAACCCGCAGTAGTTAATCTATACCAAATATAGGGACACAGCAACAATATCTTAGGCTTTAGCTGTCATGAAATTTCAGCACGGTCTATGGATTTTGTTGTTTCAGCATTTACAGGCAAACACACAGGTTCCCAGGTCCAGCTATCCTGTTTTGGTTCCTCGTTGAATTCTTCCTGGAGTATCTTTTTTATTTTCCCTCTCAAACTAGAGGCTTCTTGAGGTTTGAACCAGTGCTTCCCGAACTGAGAATAGAATAGAAAAGGCAAGTGAGCACATATGAACAAATTAGAAAAGAGGAAACTACTGTGAAACTGAACCCAGAATGATCAATATTCAATAGTGTATCTAGATGTAAAGACTGTACCATAGTTGAGAGTTGCCTTGTAAGCCTTTTAGGTGCTTCACGTATGAATTGCTCCATGTAATATAACACAAAGAGGCCGCAATCATAATCATTAGTCTGCCGAGGAACCTGTTGGGATCGAAGGAGGCAGATAGAGACAAGAAAAGTCAAAGTTCAAGATAAATAATGACAACCAAGTCTAGGAGGGTCAACACAAATGATTCAACAATTTGAGGGTCATACAATACAGCCTATTTTGGATCGACCTGATACTGTTTAATACATTGAAAATTGATTAAAAGCAAATAATTAGATAAAAATATAAATATAAATAAAACCTAACTAGAGAGCGGCTTTCTCAATGGTTGTTGGCATCAAATTTTTTAAAAACTGTTCTGTCTAAAGCGCTGTCATTTTAAATACTAAGAGCAAATGACCAATCACTAATTTTACCATACACCTGCATAAGGTACATGCTTTTAGGCATTTTAGCTCGTCAAACAGCAAAATGAGCCAGCTTAGCTAATTGCTAAAAGGCCAAAGTGTTAGAAATCACCGGAAAATTTCTAAAATCACCGGAAAATTTCAAACTACAACTTATCATATCATATCTAGAATCAGAGCATAATTCTTAATACATTTATGTAAACCAATCTTCGCACTATATCCAGATCTAAGGGGAAAAGAGGCGTTGTTGGTCTATATGATTGACTTGAAACTGAAATTTTGGGTCACTAATTCACAAACATGCATTTACCTATCCTAAACTGAAATGACCCCATATGCAAATGGTATGAACCCAAATTACCAAACCTCAACCCAATCTAACTGACTTGACAGGTCAAGTTACGACTTAGTTACGAGCAATTATAATATGGATGCAAATTCTTAATTCAAGCAGAATAATGGCCAAGAATCGAATATCAATAATAGAGGTAAGCAATCCAATGAGAACAAGTATTGTTTTCAATCATAACTAATTACATTATAATACAGAAAAGAATATTGTAAAAGAAAAGACAAAACAGTCACCTGCTAATAATCATAATAAATGAAAGTAATACCATAGCCAGAAACATAATTACCACAATATATTTATTCTCAATTCTACGAGGAAGACGCTGCCAAATCCTCTGAGGTATGGGGATATTAACAAGATCAACATCTTTGTTTAGAATCCTCCACTCGTTAATCAACAAACTGAAGAAAACATATAGCATAAGTAGGTCAGTTTGAAGCCAGCAACTTACCCATAAAAATAATGTTTGCAAGGGTGTGAGTATGCACACTAACTGATTTTCTAAATCAGAATTCACTTGCTGCAAAAAAAAAAAAAAAAAAAAAAAAAAAGGAAAACTGCAGGCCATATAATATGGCCCCAGTTTGAGCTTCTACAACAAAAAGGCATCCAGAATCAAATTGTGCAGCCAAAAGTATCTTCTGAAAACACACTACATGAAGCCTCTAGTTATATAAATTAACACAGTATATTATTCCACCCAAACCCCCTTTATTTTCTTGGATGCTCTTTCTTTTATCATTTTACTTACCTTTTTTCAAACTCATTTACTGAATATCTTGTTATGTTCTTTATATATCATACGGTTCCTTATGACGATTCATGTTAGCCGACCCGAAATCATTTTGGGACTAAGGCTTTGTTGTTGTTGTTGTTGTCGTTGTTGTTGTTGTTGTTGTTGTTGTTGTTGTCGTCGTTGTTGTTGTTATTATTCCACCCAAACCAAGGACTGATGGAGGCCATCCTTCAGAAAACTATAAGGAATATCGACCACTTTCCATCCGATCCCTCTCCCCCAAAGAAAAAAATAATAATGAGAAAGATAGAACAGTAACATTGTTGCTAGATAATATTAATTCTAATATATGTCTAGAGCACTCTAGGGTGTAAACTTAAACAACAACCCAAGAACAAAGAGTATTCATTGAACAAAAAAGGTACTTTGACCCCATGGCAGTGGAAAAGTCCACAAACAAATCTTTAGGGTAAAGTTGGATCGTGATGTGATCATAATTGTGAAACTAGTACAAGGGTTCAACCAAGGTAAAAGCTACGGGTACATCAACTAATCAATAGCTAACCAAGAACCATATGCCCAAATATTTGTGAAGCTCTATATACTAAGACTAATTGAATGATTGACCCTACACTACGAAACCATATACTTCCTCCGTTTTTTATTAGATGCATCACTTTTGAAATTGCCGATTCCTAGGCAATTTTTAAAGTAGAGAGATAGAGAGAAAAAAATAAAGAGGGCCCATGTGATATAAGAGAGATAGAGATAATTTATTGATTAAAAGGGAAAATGATGCATCTAAATTGAAACTTCCATACATAGAAAGTGATGCATCTAATAAAAAACGGATGAAGTAATTTTCTAGGACAAGACATCAAATGTGACCGTAACTCCACTTTTATCCCTCCCAGCCTCGCCTGCTAGTGTGTGTGCTTACTATTTGCTAACTTAACCCTTTTGACATTTTCCATCTATAATAAGAGAATTCCTACCTTTCTCCTTTTACTCTGGATTCCACAATCTTTTCTTCCTAGTTTGCCTTGATAAAATGCCACCTCATAAAAATCTTCTATTCCATTTCTAACTAAAATTGGAAAGGGTAGATGTGAAATCATACAAAATCTACTTTTTAACTAAATAATATTAGACTACCCCAATATGGAAGTATTTTAGGGATGAAGTACTATAATTTGAAGACTTCTTGTAATATTCTTAGTGATTCCCCTTGCACTACTTTGTTTAATTTAGAATCCCCTGTCTAATACTGCTAATTCTTTTTAAAAACATCAGAATCTTATATCATGGTATTCTGACTATTCTCCAACAGATCTCTTTCAACAAGTAGTTTTGGAACATTTATTTAAAAATCTGCATGAATTTCTTAGAATTTACTCTCTAACACACAAGGGCACATGTCATTCCTCCCTATATCACACCTTATACAAAGCTGACATGAATCAAATGAACTACTCATATACTACCTCCGTTTTATATTATATGCAACATTTTCCAAAAATGAATGCTACATATTATGTGCAACAAACTAAAACTTTTTATTTTAGTAAACTTTTTTAAATGAAAATTACCAACATACTCTTACTTAACTTCATAAAACACATTAAAATCATATGTTATTAACTAATTAACCTAACTTAATTCATCCATTATTAAAACCCTAACCCACAGTCTCTTTCCTCCCTCACAACCACATCCACCACCAACACCACCACGTTTTCTCTCTCCTCCCCTTCAGCCACCACCGCCACCACCGCCACTTTTCTCCCTCTTCCCTCACAGCCACCACACCTCCACTACTGCTCAATGTTTTCTCCCTTCACCTTCTCTCCCTGGTCAGATCAATTCGCCACCGCCCCTCCCTGTCAGAGTCGCCACCAGATGCTCCTCCCCCTCATCAGAATCGCTGCCACCTTCTCCTCTCTTGTCAAAGTCGCCGCCCCTCCTCGATATTGAAACCCTAGAAATTGATTATAAAAATGACGAATTTGAACTTGAGCTTGACAACTCAAATCTAATGCAAAAGAGGTGAAAGATGGGAGGTAATTTAGGAGGATTTTGACATTGTAAGAGAAAGGGAAGTTATACATAAATCTAGCTGGTTTAAGAAGGTGCTTATACATTCGGGGGTGATTGCGGGGGAGGGTGTGCCACGACAGGTAGGTGCAGTGGTGGTTACGGGGTGGGTGTGGAGTAGCTTTGCAGTGGGTAAGATAGGTGAAGGGTGGGTTTGTGGTGGCTGTGGGGTGGGTGGGGTGAGTTTGTGGTGGCTGCAGGGTGGGTGGGGTGGGTTTTGGGTGGTTATGGTGGTTAGGGTGGTTAGGGTGGCATGGGTGCGTGGTTTGGCGGTTGTGCTGAGCAGCACAATGTGTTGGAGGTGTTGATGTTTTGGAGGTGTTGATGTGGTGGTGGGCTGGTGTTGCTGCTGAGAGGCAGCACTGTTTGGTTTCCTTTTAACAAAAACATCCGTTCCCCACTTTCCTTCTCATCTAATTAATCACAAGCCTCTCAATTTTCTAATCCTTGCTTAAGAAATTTTTTCTTGAGACTTTTGCAACCCCTTTTGTTGCACTAAATACGAAATGGAGGTAGTATAATAAAAGATAAAAATAAGGGGTCTGCCAAGACTAAAACCGAGTATATCTGTGACTTGCAATCTAAGAGCTTACCAGATGAGAAATATCATATGCTTGCTTTTTTATCACACCCACCTATAATAATGTAATATCTATTATCTTAAAGATAAAGGACTATATTTGTTTAAAAACAAAACAAGTGAATCTAGGCAATGAGTAATGTACAGTGTTAAAACATATTACAATACATTATAAACCCATCATTTATTATAATTTAATCATCATCAAACCATTCATCTCAATATGATCCATATTTATATTCAAAGATCTAGCATTAAAATAATAATGTCATATTACATGCCATCACCCAAGGCATCTCTTGGACCAAAAACTAGTTGAGTTTACTGATTTAAGCTTCTACAAATGGCACGTGGCTGACAAATTCATATGTCAATAGCCAGCATTCCCCAGCTTCCAGATAGGCAAGGGAAGGATACAAAAGGCAGCACCATGAAGTCTCTCATCAGCATGCAACTACTTAGAGATTCACATGTTTGAAAACAGACAAGTAAAGAACAAAAGGCAACTTATAAGCTACACTGCTAAGGTTAAATGCTCTCACCACTTGATGTTATCAAAAATCGAACTGCTAGAGTGCACTCCCAATGAATCTAAATGAAGTATCATCAATCCTGAATCACATTCCTCATCAGGGATGCATATTATCGCCAAGCTCCAATGATTGCTGAGGACAAGATGAAACTATGCATCAAATTTAGAGGGCCTTTTTCCCAGTTACAAAGACAGAGAATCATATAACAAATTATTTTGAGCAGATGTTGCTAGATTACTGGAAGGGAACAATTAACTCCAAAAAAGTGACGTTAACTAAAACCAATCAGCAGGCTTTATTACCATGCATAACATTCATGCAGTTTTGGTTAGATCTTCGTATTATTAAATCATATAGCTCACCAAAACACATGGACACATATTTGTATTCAAACAGCCTCACAATCCCCCGCAGTTATCTACATTTCTGCAGCCTCATGAATCAAACATAATTGCATACAGGATTTTAAAACCGCAAGGGTTGAGAGTATCCATCCCAAACAAGATATGCAATACTAGTGTCTAGTAGTGTACTTGTTTGGCCTTTACAATCACGGAAAGAAGAGTCAAGATCTTTATAATCTAAAACGTTTCTCACAACTAGAAGCAGTTCAAGCAGTTGTAAGACCCAGCCTTCAACTCACCGCACCACCCATTCAACCATTTAATAACCCAATTTATGCCTTCACACCAAACTATCTTTCACTTCTCTCTAGCTAGCACAATTTCTATCTCAATTTAATACCACCCTCTCCACCCACAGATCTATACTATTGCTTGGCAAGTTGTTGCATTTTTCTTCTGCGATTAAGAGTCTGAATAGTGTACTTAATCTCACCAAAGACATACAGCAAGTCAGGTGCAGCTCGCTCTCAGATTTGCATGGGTTTGAATTTTAATAATTGAATCAACAAATTTAAATAAATTATTTATATCAATATAGGTCTGTAATTTTGAACTATATGCTCATATAAATTTGAGTTATATAAACTATATGTTCATTATATTTGAGCTAAATGTTCAGTATATTTGAGCTATATGTTAATCCCAAGAGCTATATGCTAATCCCAAGGCCAGGATGCACTTCATGGTACTAGCATCAAGACATAATTTTCAATGAACAGTGAAAGAAATTTAGGTCCATCCAAAGATAAATCCCTTCCCAAACAGAAAAGGTCCTTGCTTATAACCAGCATGACCCATATTGGGAGAACATAACGATTGTTGATGAAAATTTCTCCCTTCTAAAGAGGACATTGGTGCAAATAAAAATCTTCATTTATGTCCGCAAACATTCAATGAAGGCAAGTTAGAGTGTAAAAAATGAACTGCATGTTGCTAATTAAAACCTCAAAGAAAATGCCATAGAGGTTACTCAAAATGAACAAGATGTAATACATGTAAACACAATCCAAATGTAGCACCAATGAAATGAGACAATAATTGGGACTAGCCCTTATGTACTAACATTGAAACTGTGAACCAGACATATAACTCCAACTCAAATGTCAGAAAATTTCAACTTACTCTTCATTTATGGGAAGAAATATATATGCCTTCTGAAATATATTGACACCTTTCCACCACCTTCTAAACTTCAAGAAAAAAGCTTCCTTGTCACTCTTCGGCAATTCACATGAAAGAAACAAGCTTAAATTTAATATAGAATGTGAATGAATTTCAATCAAGAATCTAAACAAGCAGAAGGCAATATTGAGCATCTAATAAGTAACAACATGCATTATGCTGTCGTATTTATTGTTTAACTATTTCCCTTTTCTTCTCTAGCTTTTCTATGCTAGAACAGCATTACAAAGGTTTGTGGAATGCGGTTTGTCGGTTGGCTTATTATTGATTCGTACGGATGGGTTTCAGAACACAATTTGGGATAGTGGTCCATGATAGTTCTTTACTTGCTAAGCTTAACGATTTTTTTGTTCAGTTCCCATATCAAAAGCGATTTTGATTTCACTTTATATTTTAAAAATTGGGTGCAAGCACACTGTGTAATGAATAATTCGCACTTTATAGTTTAGCTACAAACTTAGTTTCACTCCCAAAAGAATCATTAACCTGAATTACAAAGTTAGTCACTTTCATCACTCAGTAGCAATATATAGAAAAATCAAAAGGGCGGTAGCTTAAAAAAACACATTTAACAATAATTCACATCAAGCGTCCACCCCTCCAGGCTTCTCCTTCCCATTTATGTTCAGAATTTGTCTTGGTAGAAAAAGGGGGGTGAGGGAAGTAAACTATAATTAAAAGCTATGAGCATTCCGACATCCATTCTCTGCCAGAGTGCCAGGTGCGGATGTAACATTTCAAATTTGGAGTGTCAACCAACATAGTAAAAGGACGAGGCATACTAAGCAATGGGGGTCCTGCTGCACCTTAGGCGCGCTATTTTATAAACTGGCGGCAGCATACGACAAAAAATGAAAATCAAGCAAGTCATAGTTTAAAATCATAATTGTTATTGCTGAGTATTCAGATTAAAAAAAAAAAAAAAAACAATTCAACACAGCTACATCACTGACAACCCAAGTTTCTTTGTAATAAATATCTGCCCATGCCTTCTCCTTCCCACCCACAGAAGACAAAAAACCAATAACAATTAGGACAAGAAAATAGCAAAACAGAGGAACAGAGACACAATAAGAAAAAGCAAGCAACACCATGAACAAAGCTTCTATATCGTCAGTGATTACAAATTGACAGCCAATGTGAAGGACTGGTCCAGCACGACAATAAAACTCACAGCATCTTATTTGACTCAACATCCAAAACAAAAAATTTAAAAGATATTATTAAAAAAAAAAAAAACCTCTTTCAGAAACGAATTAAAGCATGGTAAACAAGAGCTATTCAAGTAGCAGCTAATCATTTGACCTAGTTCAAACTCAAGAAAAGTCTAAATTTGTTAAGTAATGTTGAATAAGATGGCAGTTAATACCTCTGTTCTTTTATGTTCTACTCATTAAATATGTAGTTTAAGAAAATTTTGAAAAAAGGCGAGTAAGTGTAAAAGTAAGATAACGTGAGAGAGGGTGTAAAAAGGTGGGTGCCGAGTGGGTGTAAGAAAAAAGGTGAATAAAATAAGAGTGTGGAAATATGTGATTATTCGGGGGTAAGATGGCAAAGGGGGTATACCTCAAATAGAATAAAGTAAAATAGGTAGAGCATAAAAGAATGGACAAAAATTGGAAAGTGGGACAAACAAAAAAAATGGAGTAAAAGTTAAGAAAGTTTTCTTTAAAAGCTACATGAGGTAACAATTTATCTCCACCAACTACCGCTAATTGACTACAATTTGCATTATACTACTTATTTTAACCAAAATCCAAAAGCTAATTGAGCAAACTTAATTAGAAATACATAGCATAATAGCTAGAAACTATTCGCAAATAGCTAGTAAGGCACCAATAAGCAGTTTGAACAGCTACCCGCTATTACAATCATTAGTTATGCTTATGCTCAACTCTACAGGCCCCTAAGTAGATCTCACCTTCAACTTCCAGAATCTAGATCTTGGGTTACTACTCAAACACTAGATAGAAAAACTTTCCATAATATCAGTTCCTTTCCTCGCAATTAGACTACCAATCACATAGATGGTATTGTCTAGGGTTTTCGTAGGTTGTGCATCACAGCAATTTGGAACAAAATGAGAAACAAGTTCAAAACACTGTAGAGATTTACGTGGGTGGAGAGCACAGTACTTAAAACGCTGGGCAAGAATGAATCATGTGATTCATCAACACATGGAATGAAATCCTAGTCAAGAGAAGCTACGCAAAATATGAAGTTTGAAATCAGTGTGTTAGGGAAGCTAATACTATATTAATAAATGAACTTACCTTACAACATAAGATAGAATGAACTTAGCCAAGCTTAAACATAGTTTCTTCAAAAAACATGGTGATTAGGACCTGACCAATGGCTGATCATACAAAAGTTTTTCATTTATTGGGATGTCTACCAGGAAGATTTTGATGAGCGATATTCAACAGACATACTGACAGCATCAACTTCCTTCAACTTCTCAGGAAATCATCAGCAGGAAAGAAAAATATTACAAAGCTAAAATCAATCAAAAAAGTCCTATGATAATACATCACAAGAAATTCGTCAAGCATCAAAAGGCACAGGTCAACAAACATAATCACATGCATATCAAAAAGAACATTTCAACCCATAATTTCGCCAAGGTCAAGGAGACCATAGAACATAGGGAGTACCTGATAGGCTACAGCTTCTTGAAGCTTACTGTAAAAGTATGTATTGAAAAAGTAGAAATTGTGTTGTGACGAATCAGTTGAACAGTACAGCTCCTGGAGAAACCTAGTAGATTGAATAGCAAGTTAAACAACAAATGGCTAATCAAAAGCAAAATAAATTACTTTAGTTCCTGGATCACTAAGAATTATTATTTTTGTATGGTAGTTATGCGGAAAAGGTGCTACAGTTCACAAGGTAGTTTTATCCAATTTCTACAATAGAATAAATACTAACTTATACAGCTCACATCATTGCAGAAAAAGAAGAGGAATGCTAATTCTTGTAGCTCAACCTAGCTTCCATCCAGTTGGACGGTTGCACCACAAAACTCTGTTATCAAACTCTAAAGTATCAGCTATCACCTAATATATTTGTACAAACTTTAAAATTCTCTTCCCACTCCACCAACCATCAACAAAGTTCTATCTTCTGCATTTCAGATAATACGTTTAGAGTTCTCTGACCTGCATATCCCATCTTTCCAAGTAAACCTCAATCAGATTAGAAAAAGCAACAACTTTTTCAGTGAACAACTGCACCTCCTCCAATGGCCTAAAATTACATTTGACCTCTCTTTATCTCCTCAAAAAAATAAAATAAAATAAAATAAAATAAAATAAACAAACAACATTACACACAAGAGCATTACACAAGTGATACGTTCATAAAACCACAACAAACAAACCCAATTAAACATTTTTTACATGAGCATTACACAGATAAAAGACTCAGAAGCTTAGTAAGGCAAAGCATAATGCCAAATTTAAATACACACCTAATACAGCTTCACAACATTGGAGCACATCATAACAGGCTCAAATTTCAAGAGAAAAAATGAACATCCAATCATCTCTGTCCTCACAATGTAAATCCTATTTAAAACTATTTCAAGACTCCCAAATCAAAGAGGAATTAATAGGAATTTTCCTCTTATAATCTCCAAGCAATAGAAAATAAGACAAGCAAATAATATAGGGCTTCACATTCAGAGGAGAAAAGATCTCACAAGCAATCAACATTTTCCATTCAACTATAGAGGAGAATAGATGAGGGGAAAAAAGTGAATAAGTCTTTGGGAATGTTACTTGCATCCCTCATTAAGATTAATATTGCATGGAAGTATGATTTTTCATGTACAGAAAAGCCTTTTAGGTAAAACATAAAACACACATACTCCCTTTGTCCCTAAATAAAAGTCTCATTTTACTTAATTCACTTTTAATCAACCAAACCCCACTATCTTCCTCTTTTTATATTCACCTTTCATCAACCAAATCTTCTTAAATAATTCACCTTCTTAAAACCTTGTGAAAAAGCCAAATGAGAAAATTTTTTAGGGACGGAGGGCGTATTTGTTAGCAGGACTTGATTTGAGAACCTAAAATTATCAATACACAGTGTGCTAATCTTAAGCAAGCCAAAGCCTCATCGATAGAAACATCACTTTCTCAGTGAGATCTCAATGAAACACAAAGCCTTTGTAATTATCAAGACGTCCAAACTCCAAAGTAAAAAAATAATGAACTGTCCCACCTCTTGGTGGAGTGGTGACAGAGCCAAAGTACCAAACCTCAGCCTCATCACCAGTTTTTGTGTTACTCGCATGGAACTCAATAGCTCCCAACGCTTCCTAGTATATCAAATATTGAAGAGGTTGAAGGTAGAGAATATTAAAATTGTACTTCCTCTGTTTTCTTTTAAATACAACACACCTTTTTGACACGCTGTTTTAGGAGTTGATTAGAGTAGGCAAACGAGCGATTTTTACAAAATAATTTTAACACTATAATTAGAAAAGGGTTAGTTACTACGTGTATAAATTATATTAATTACTTTTTCCGTTTACATTGCTTAATCTTATCCTCAAAGTGCGTGCCGAAGAGGTGTGTTGCATTTACAAGAAAACAACGGAAGTACAATATAGGCCATTGAGGGCTCTCCGAGTTTTTATTTAACCAGCCAAGAGTTACCCACCCTTCACCCTTCAAAACTTTTTGGCTATAAATTTTGTACAAAACTCATCCAAAACATGGTAAATATGAGACGTCAACACGCCTGACTTAAAAGATAAATTTGTTTTATAGAGAAATGTGAGAGTATATATACCTTATATAAAAGTTCATGATAGTTGAGGTCAAGCACTCTTCAGGTTCTAGGCATTTTAATTCTGAGCGGAAGATTTCAAGAGACTCGGGATCCTCCCTGCATAAAAAAAAATTAAAAAAAAATAAAGCACAAACATTAAGTGAAGAACAAGAGGTTCACACAAGTATGCGTGCATCAAGAAAATAAAAGTGAGAATGACATAATTTAGAGAGCATTGATACCTAGATGGATAGTAGATCTTGCCATCATTAGGCCTGTATATATGCACAATAGAATAACTTCGGCATTAACAGTGTAACCTTGATATAAAAGAGAAAATACAGATCCAGAAATATAAAAGCTTAGAGCCTAAGATCATCATACGTTGACGGTAGATCATTAGCTTTTTGTTTTTTCTCAATAAGCTCGGGTGCCTCCTCATCCACCAAAACAACAGCCTGCACTTGATTCAAATGTAGAGAAACAGATAAATCAGATACTATTTCTTATTCCTGCCTCAATATAAGATCCAATCCAATAATAGACCCATACACGGCTGCCCTCTATTCTCATGCCAATAATACTTAAATTGAGAAAGATACATATGCATTTTTTTAATTCAATGGGCATATATTTTAACAAAATGTGTGTATTTTGTTTTTTGAGGTGAGATTATTTTTCTGATATCTGGAAAATTATCAATTGTGCACATTTTGTTTAATAAATATGCACATTCAGTTTTAAAATCATGCATATCAATCCTTCTCATTTTAAAATATCTCTCATTTGACCCTGTGTGTGTGTAGAGGGTATTTGGTTCAACCTTGGAATAGAGTATGGGTTTAGAATCAACCAAACCCATACTTGATGTTTGGATGACTAAAAGCAACAAGATAGCTGCTTGTACTGTCAAATACTTTCTCCGTTCCACAAATATTGCAACAATTACCATTTTAGGAAGTTTTGCAAATTTGCAACATTTCCCTATTTGCACATGTTTTCTCTCGTTCTCTCTCCTCATCATATGGGTCCCTATCTTTATTCCTCTCTATCTCTCTCCTCTTCTTAAAATACGTGTCTCATCCCCATGTTGCAATATTTGGGGAACGGCGGAAGTACAAGGCAATCAAATACATATCATCTCCACCTGAATCTAGTTGGATTTGGAGGGGGACAGATCTAATTTTACCTTATCCTTAATTGAGCCATTTGTATTCAAAGCTTGAGAATCCTCACTGCAAGAAGGTTTAAAGACATAATAATCAGTCAACGGTCAAATATGTAAAAACCTTAATCTGAACAACCAAAAAGAACACTTCAAGAGACATTGAAATATGATACAGAAAACCACAAACGTACATGAAATCTCACAATAATTTTTCATCAGGCTTAAAAACAACAGATCAATTACCCATCTTGTTCTAAAGTAGATTAAGCATGACCCTGTCTTCCAGCTTTATCCAAGTTATTACCAAATTTTCCGGTATCTCGCAGTGTAAAGCAGAGCAAAAGAGCATAGGTTCAATACATATTGACATGGTAATATGGTATGTACACTTGCTTTCCACAATGCCAGATACCTTTCCATCAGAAATTCAAGCCTACAAGTATAGCATGAGCTAAGCTCCTACTCCAAAGTCGAATGCTTTTGAATCCAGTCAGGCATTAAGCATAAGGACAAGCAAATGCAATGATATACAAGGTGAAACAGATAGTACGAAAAAAGCAACAAATTTTTTTAAAAAAAATAAAAAAAATAAAAAAATAAAAAGTTAAAAAAAATTAAGAAAAATAAAAACTTCAAAGTGAAAAAAATTGTTCTAAGATTTTTTTTTTAAAAAAGCTGGCAATCAGTAAAAAAGAGTGTCCAAGACATCAGAATATACAGAATTCCATAAAGAAAACAAAAGCATAAAGAAAATTTCCATGTGAGCTTATTATATGAAGATAACATCACTACCAGGACACCAACAGAATTCCATAAAGAAAACAAAAGCAACATTGAACAATTAAAATGTACTTCGTATATAATCTAAATCAAGCATATCCATCATAGATATGATTGTTAGAAGAAATTGCTAATAGACAAGAAAATGTAGCAGTCAACCTCAAAAAATGGACATAATTAAAGCAACTGAAAAAAAGAGAATCTATTTGAATCAGATAAACAAGTACAGAAAACAGCAGCATCAGCCAGAAACGATAAGTACATAGTGTGATCAGGCGTCCATCTCATTTTTGGCACTTTGGCCTTACTATGATAATTACAGGGGCTGCAGTACCAAAATTGGGGTGAAGCTCCACCCTTTTTGGATCCAAAGATCCTGTAATACCTATGCCTTTCAAAATTAGGAAAAGGAGAAAATTGCTAGTGGAGCAAAATAGATATGCATACTTATTATTTGTGTCAGCTGTCTTCTCATTTAGCAAAGGAAGTGAGCCAAAAGAAGAAACCCTGCCAGCCTGCTTTCCATTCTTTACACCATTGCGAGGAGACTGATCCTTAGGTTTCCACGCATAAAATTCTTTGGCAGACGGCCCGGGTTTTGCTCTTTTGCCTTGTGGTAACTTTACAGTTGATTTCCTTTTAGACTTGTCGCAAGGGTTCAGACAAGAAATTTCACGAACGAATGCGCTGCTTGCTTGATTACTGGTCTGCAAAATATTCACACTTAAAATGGGAGCAGTAATCATCAATGAACTAGAAAGAGTAGATAGCTGTGGTCATAAGATAGATGCAATACATTCTGTTCTACTTTCGGATTATCCAACGTCTTCAACAAACAGGTGGCGAAGATAGAGCATTGAGATGATGGTGCTTCTTGCATGGATCCATCTGAAAAACCTATAAATTGGCATTTCCTTGATTAGTCCTCTTCCAAAGATACCTAAAAAGGAAGGTAGATAGGAACCACAACAGGTGTATTTTGAGTAGTCCAGCCTAGGTTACAACAAAGCCAAAACCCTCTTTTGTTGATACTTTTTATTTGCCAAAACAATGAATAATTAAAACCACAAAAAGGATATAAGTCATTGTCTATAATATATCTAAGAAAATGATGAAAAGGAAATAGTTACCACAAATCATTCACTTTTCCACTCACTATATACACTTGCCTTTTATCCCTACTCTCTGCTCTTCTCCCTCTCTTTCACAAGTTATTTCTCCGCTCTGTATATATTCCTCCAATGGTGGCTCTCTTCAAAAACAATTGATATTACATGTATAAGAATTGCATCTATTCATCAGCTCCAACGTCTCCACATGAGAACTGAAAAAACTAGAAGTTTACACTTTTGCCAATCCAAAACAAACTCATTATTACGTAAAAGATTTCTTATATTTAATTGATGTAGCTAACGCTTTAAATGCTCTCGATCCCCTCTTTCATTAGTAAATAACAATGGAATATCAGAGTGAACTGCGAAAATTCATGCACATAAGTTCTTCAATATTCAAAGTTCCAAATGTCCCAATCTTGCCAATTTTATTCCTTGGATCTTTGGTAAGGAAACAGGTTCTTTTTTTAGGCCACATGGTTGTGGGGTTTTGTTACTTACTATGTAACATATGCTATCACCATGTCATATATACATTCAAAAAAATTTATCAAGGTTAACATGGGTGTTCTCTGTTACAAATCTTACGACTGCATCTATGTACATCAACGTATTGAAATTTTCCAATAATATCACATTTGTAACTTAGAATGGTAAATTTCAAAATAAGATGCTTATTAATTCACTTCATTTCCTTTTCAACACAATTCTTCAACTATATAAAATATGAAGGCTTCCTAACAAAAAGTGAAGGCTCCCCATCAAATACCAAGTGAGTTTTAGGAGAGATACAATGAAAAGTGTATCTCCATGAAGAGACCAAGGAAAGTCCCTGAATGATATTCCTATCAAAGGAAAATTTCTTTATTTTTCAGTAGATCTTTCTATGAAGACTATGACAGGAAATGAGGATATACATTCAGGCACATGCGGCGAAACCAAAACTATAGCTCAGACAACAAATTTGCGAAATAATCCCTAATGTGTTCGAGAATCAGCTCATAATTTCTGCAGCTTTTCTACATTATTCAAATTCATCTTACTACATGTATACCTGTCAAATCATCTACACTCTAGCATGAGTATAGAAGTATGACAGATCAGTTTGAACCAAAAGAGAAAATCACCAATAAAATTGTCACGTCTTGTCTACAATAAAGAAAGAAAAAGGTTCCAGTATCTCAAGAGTTAATGCAAAAATGTGCAGATGACATTGCAAGTATACAGAAAAGCAAGAGATGCAAGAAAATTGACATCACCATTGTTACTTGAACTCTCTGAATGCATTGGCTTCTCAAATCCATTAGCAACCTGTTAGTTTTAAAAGAAAAAATCACGAACACTCTTGAATTTTTCCATGAAGATAATGCTTCGTTCAATATTTCATTGTGGCACAAATAAATTGAGAATAGCACAGCTTAACATAGCCAGAAATATTCAAGGTATAAAGTAATGCTTAATGAGTTGGTCATTATGTCAAAAAAATACAAAAATAATAGGAACCATTCTTTGCCACCAGCATTCAGGCTTTCTCAAAATCTTCTCATGCAAATGGAAAAGCTATTTATCTTCATAACAATTAAGACTCAATAAACAAGCATACAGCATAACGATCCTTAAGGCAGCTAGACGTCAATGGCTCAATGCATAGCATAACTACCCCCAAGATAACATTACCTCCTCGGCTCTCTTCAGCCCTTACAAACAAGAATAACAATACCAATGAAAGAAAAAACCGCGGTCAATGCTTATCTGGCAGTTCGTCTTCATGCCAAGACAATACTAGAGCTCCAGACAACTAATAAAACAAAACAAAACCTGCATTGAAGCTCACAAAAATACAAGCTCCAGAAGCAGAAAATGAACCCCTACCATCAATTCAAATAATTTTTTCACAATTCTATTTATTTATTTACATACAAAAACTTGCCAATCAGAATTTGCTGACCTTAAAAAAAAACTATACCCCCAAAAAACAAACATCCTGTCCACACCTCACCCAGTTACTTCTATGATTGCACAACATGCATGCAATCGAAAACTCGAAATAAAAATGATTATCAACCAACAATGCAACAATCAAGTATAACCATACTAGCATTTCCTTTCTCAAATTTCCATACAGTATAGCATCATCAAAATATAAGCAAACTACAATTAAAAATGCAGCAACAACAACAAAAAAAACCCTAAATTCCACAAAATAAAAAGAAAATTAACCTCCTTTTGACGAAGCTCACGGCGCTGCAATTCTTCCTCCAAACACTTCAATTTAGCCTTAAGCTTTTCACCTTTATCAGGCAACTTACCCGCCAAAGCAAGATTTTTAGTCTGCCTTTCAATTGCACTTCTCAATTCGATGTCCGACATTGACGAAAAATCATCTCCGCCATGAGAATTCGCCGGATGAGGATCATCATTCACCAATTTCCTTTCCTTCTCCCGATTTTTCCGACGTTTTTCGGTGGCAACAACCTCAATCTCCGGCGTCGGTTCATCATGATCATCGCCAAAAAGTTCCGCGAAATTGAGTTTCAACGGCTGCGTCTTCTCGCCGGAGTTTACAGCGACGGCAGTGTCAGTCGCCTCCGATGCCGGCTTCTCTCCGACCTCCATTGTCGGAGCTTAAGGAAGTGAGGGAAGTGAGAGTGAAGGAGGTCAAAGGAAATGGAGGAGAGAGAAAATGGTTCTGGAATTTGTACTGCAGTATAAAATAAGGGTTTAACAGAGGCTGGTGACTTGGTGATGGTGGAGCCTAACAGCCTAGTTTGTTAGGCATTCTAAATTTTTCGGGCGTTACTCTTCAATTTTCTTCTTTGCTTGGAAGGGCAAGAGGGGCCAGGCTTTATGTCCGGGTTGATCGGGTTTTCGCACAGGTAAAAGAAAAAAAAAAAAACAGTTTGACTATGTGAGTTTAATTATTATAGGCTAGAAAATTCAAGTTTATCACTAAAGTAATTCATGAAATTAAGGCAATTTTGTAAATTAAATGCTCAACCCTACACGAGTTAAGGGAAAAGCCGCTAAAATACTGTTGCAGTTTAAGGGTAAGAGTGCTACTTGTGTTAGCATTTTTAGGGTAAAATGTTACAATTGTGATAAGTCTGGACTCTTGCAGTTATGGACATAACAATTCTATTTGCATGTGATGTATAAAGTGCCACACAAACATAATGGATTGACCACAAATAAGATAAGATACTTTTTTTTTTTTTTACGGGAAGATACTTCGTTGAATTAAGGTGGTAAACATATCATGAAATTTTAACTTTTCATTCAATTTTGAACTAAAAAGGCCCCCTCGATATTCAGACATGCAACGACATATAATATTAAAATCTTATCTGTTCAATCACTATAACTTATTCATTTTACAAGTTATTATAGTTGTCTCAATCGAATATTGATCTAATTGTGCAAATAATTATAGTCGAACGGTAACTATCAAAGTTAATGGTAAGGATTTTGATTTTTTTTTTCAAAAAATAGAAAAACAAAATTTCTTGATTTTCTTACCAAAATAATTTTAATATACAAATGCTAACAATAACTAGGACAAGAAAAAAAAATTATTTTTATGAGGGTTCGAAACTGTGAACTCATGATCAAAAAATCACAAGTTAGTGAATTTAGTCCAATATCTAACCAACAAACTAATTTTCTACTTTTAAATAGGCTTAAAAAGTTTTATACTAATAAGTAGCCTATGCACCTGCATACTCATGGTGTGTGTTGGATTCTCCTATGCGTATATAAAATTCACAGCAAAACAAACACAACACATTAAAATGTACACAACATTAAGACACAGACACACAAAGGTTCTCAATTTCCCTTTTAAGCATGCATGTACCAAAAAGTTTTTACCACACTATTCATGGATCAGCGCAATGTGAGTGATCACTCAAGGACCTAAAAAAGTTATAGCCACAAAACTAGGTAATTAATCCTATTGTATGGCAGCTCTAGGTAAAGACAATACATGTGAATCACTCTTATTCTCTTCTTATGCCTCTTCTAAATGACTTCACCCTTCATCTTTCGTCTTTTACTTTTATCTCACACATTAAGAAAGGAAGAAAAATAAAAAACCCAAAGAAAACTGTTTTTGTAAAAAGACCTATTATTAAATCACCATTTGAACCATACAATTGCAAGTGCTTAAATTTCAAACCCACTCCTTTCAGATTATATATTCTCGAAAACATTAATTTATATGCTCAACTTTCCGCTGTGAAGACTGGTTGTTGATGATTGTTGTTCTTAATGGTGAATGACATTTTCTACTACGATTGTTGGAGGGGATGTTGTTATCTAATATCCAATAGGAGGTTCGTGGAATCATGGCAATATGCAGAGTAAGACAATGAAGAAGATGAGATAACTAAATATATTTCAACATCTTAATCCAATTATCCAAAACACGTTAACCATGAATTTTAGGGTGAGGTTGAATAAGAAAGACCAAAACTGCTCTAAAGTGTAGATTTGGAGGGGGTTATTCTAAATTCTTGTTTGGTTAACCAAAAGAAATGGAGAAAAGTGATTTTTATGAGAAATACAACTTTGGGTGATTGTTTGGTTAAAATTAAAAAGATGAAATGGAGGAAATAAATTATCCTTTTCTTACTTAACCTCTTCTAATACATAAGGGAAATAACTTTTTCTTTTGAAAAAAAAAAGTACTTTTTTGTTGTAAGTGCGATGAACTGCCCTATTGAAATAAAACTTCTCTCATGTAAAACCGAACAAGTTTGCAAAATAGACAGAAAGTATGGAGCACGAGGAAAGGGCAAGAAAAATCCCTACCCTTAAAGTGCCCCTAAAGGCTAATCTTTACCAAATTACCACTAAATCAAACTTTACTATTGTGGCAAAACCACGGACGGATCAAGTAAAAAATAGAACCTCTCTTAGTCTCTTTTTATATACTCCTAATCGTACTCCCTATCAATCTAAAATCTAAAAAAAAGAAAAGAAAAAAGAAAAGCTTAATTTCTCGTCGGAGTACGCACAACAAGAAAATCAGACACAATTTCTCTCCCACTTTCCTCTCACTCTCTCTCCTCTAAAACCTCAACAGCAGCAGCCATGGCGGACCCTTCGCCATCTCCGGCAACTCAGGAATCCTCCAATCCTGCCCCTTCTCAATCCCCAATCTCAAACCCTAACCCTAACCCTAGCCCTAATTCTAACCTTAGCCCTAATCCTAATCCAAACCCTAGCATTAGCAATCCCGAATCACAACCCAATTCAACCCAACCTCCCGCTTCAACGCCTCCGCCACCCGGCCCGCCCGCCATAAGCCCTGCTCCGACCTCTGCACCGCCGTTTCAGCCGCCGCCGATCAACCCATACGCCGCGCCGCCGTCATTTCGACCTACTGGTGCTCCTCCTCCGATGCACGTTCCTCAGTTTACTCCAATCCCTCAAAACCCTAATATGCAGGGATATCAACAGCAACCAAATCATGGGGTTCCACCTCCTGGGGTGAGTTCTGCTCCGCCGCAGCAACAAACATTGATGCCTGGGCAGCAGCAGCAACCAGTGATGCCTGGGCAGCAGCAGCAACCGATGATGCCTGGACAGCAGCAGCAACCGATGATGCCTGGACAGCAGCAGCAACCGATGATGCCTGGGCAGCAGCCGATGCGGCCGCCGTATATGCCTATGCCTAATGGTTATATGCATCCTCCTCCTCATGGATCTCTTCCCCCCGGTGGGTTTTCCTTTCTCTTTATTCATGATTTCAATTATTTACAAGCTATGATTAATGTATTCTTGATGTTTTTGATTGGAATTGCAATTGTGGTAAGATAGAATGTAGCACTTGGGATGAAATCATTTTTGGAATTAGGTTTTTTATGGTGTGTGTTTTCTAATGATGCTTTATCCTGTGATTGATGTGTTTTTGAATTGATGTTGATTTATAGCATTTTAGCGGCAAAGACCATTACTTTAGGTATCTTTTAGGTTTATCTCACTTGCTTAGTCTATCTTATGGTGACGGTATGCATCAAGATGACAATTTTGCATCTTGCTTGAGGTTTGAGGAAGAAATATCAAGAAATTAGTTTCACCTGAGGAAGAAACATTAAGGAATTGCTTTAGGAAAAAATATTAAGGAATTAGTTTCATCCGAATTATTAAAGAAATAGTTTTGCTCGAGGAGGAAGTATCAAGGAATTAGTTTAAATTGAGGAGGAAATATCAAGGAATTAGTTTCAATTGAGGAGTAAATCTCAAGATAATAGTTTTAGGAAACTTCTTTGCCACCCCTCATCCATTCCTACCATAGGTGGGATTCTCATTGGGTTATTGTTGGAGCAATGCAAGCTTTCTTTCTTCCTTTTACTTCTCACTTCCCAACCACCACAAGCCTATATTACACTATCACCATAGCCATTTGAGGATAATCACAGACATAGACCACCACAAGTCCACAACCATAGGTACCACTGGTCCACCACTATTAGAACACGGGATTGTACTATATTATTATCGTTGGGAGAATGACTTTTAGTTCCTTGTTACTGTTGCCTTGTAGTTTTTGAAGTTACACTAATATAAGAGTGGCTTTTTCATGCAATTTGTTTGTGCTTCTTAGAGATCAATATATTTGTGAGGGGGTGTTTGCAGGTGTAATATGTTGTTCTGTGCCATAGGTTTGCTGCTAATTTTATAATGTTATTTGACTGATATAAATAAGCCTGAAGCTATTGAGATGATATTGATTTAAAATTTATGGGGAATTAGAAAGTCTGACTATTTTACATCATTAAGGTAGCTGAGATGAGTTTCAATTTGAATAGCAAAGCATAGATTTTCTAACAGTAGAAGAGGTTATTAACTTCCGTTTTGCTGGGAAGAATTTGGTTGGGAGAAGATTGGAGAAAATTCTGAAAAATAAATATTGACTAGTTGACGGGGTAACGATGATGGGATGTTTTCTCCTACAGTGTCTTGGTTGAATACGGTGAGAAAGCTCAGAAGGCTTCCTATTGCAGTTGTTTAGAGACTCCTTCTGCAACTTCCTACTTTGGTATGCACATATTTGTAACTTCCTCAGTTTTGTCAATTTATATTTCAAAGTTGGAAAATATTTTAAAGACAATTATATATTTAGTTAAGCCTTAAAACTGCAAAATCCAGCAGTACTCCATTGCTATATAATGGCTGGTGCTGTATGTCGATTGAGTAGGGTGTTTTTGGTAGTTTAAGGATTCTTTCCTTCCTGGGTTCTTGAGTCTCCGGAGCAGATCATGAGGCCTGCTGAGTTCTTGGTGCCCTTGTTTGGCAAGGTATCATTATCTTAAACATTGTTTATTTTTCCTTTCCCTTCCTATCTGTCTATTCTTTTTATTTATATTTCATTATGCATATTGGGCAATTAACAGTTGACATAAAAAAGGTTGACGGGCTAAATTATGGCTTTATGGCATCTATTTCTTGAGTATAGTTGGGATGGTGATATTGTTGTTTTACTCATTAGCGAAACATGTTAGTTGGTGCGTTGGCTATTTGACAAGGCTACTATTGTTGGAACTGGATATTGCAAGGTAAGCATGCTTGGTGACTTGTTGATTATGAACGTTGTATTGTTTTTTTTAATCTTCACCAGGTCTTTTCAGCTGCTCATAGTTGCCCTGCTATGCTGCCATATCTCTTATTTGTGATGTGTGGTAAACACTTTTAAAGTTTGTGAAAGCTTTTTTTTTACCCAATGTAGTGATGATTTTTTTTTTTTTTTTTTTTTTTTTTTTTTTTTTTTTTTTTTTGGTGTTATGATTTTATGTTAATTACGAACCTATGCTGATGTGTTTGCATAGATGTGGTTTTTTACATGATACTACAGGAGTTGTTCGCTATCCTTATCCGCCGATGGCTCGTCCTTCCTTTCTCTCTCGTCCTGGAGTTACAGTTGGCATGGTTCCCCAACTGCCGAGACCTCCTTTTTTGGGACTTCGTCCACCATTGACACTTCCAGTTGTTAGGCCTCCTGTTGTTCCAGTTGCGTTACCGCCAGAAAAACCACAAACTACTGTTTATGTTGGCAAGATAGCTCCTTCAGTAGAGAATGATTTTATTCGTTCGCTCCTTGAGGTATGTAAATATCATGGAAGGTGCATTTTTAAATTTTGTATCTTTTCTCTCCTATGTTGTCATGTTGTAATTTTCTTATTTCATATTTTATGTCCCATTGTTGATTTTGTGATTGTTTGTATATCCTCAGCTATGTGGACCAATAAAGAGTTGGAAGCGCGCTCAGGATCCATCAGATGGAACCCCAAGAAGATTTGGCTTCTGTGAGTTTGAATCTGCTGAAGGGGTTCTCCGAGCTCTACGACTGCTAAGTAAATGCAATGTTGACGGTGAAGAGCTGGTGGTATGTTCTATTTTGCTTGTTACTAAATCTCTTGAATTAGGAAGCTATAAATGTTGATAATTATTCTAATTTCTAATATGCTTCTGTCATCCAACCTCTTGTTTATTATAGACTGGTAATGCCAATATGTTTTTCTTGAGTGTTGCTTCTGAAAGACCTTTTTTTTAACTGCAATGAAGCAATCCTGTACTACTAAGTTTTTATTTTTTTTATTATTTATTTTTTACTTAAGCTACTAGTAAGCAGTTCTGGAAAAAATAGTAATATAATTGTCAGGGTTGTAAGTTGCAAACTTTATTTTTTTTGGGCCAGGGTGATCATTACTTCTTAACGGAGGTGTAGCTAATAAGAGCATTTCACTTCTAGTTTTTCATTTTCAAGCTAATATCATTTTCAGGGAGATGGCTTTGTGTATTATAGTTTGGTTTAGTGTTACTCCATTCACCAGTATGGGATGGGGGTATTGTTACTCAATGCTTACCATTGCTAAATTAGGCTTGAATGCACCACATCCACGTAATTTGCCTTTTCTGGGTTGGGGTTTGTAGGGTGGGGGGGGGGGGTCTGGGGGCTGAGTTTAGAAGATCAGGCAACTATGAATGGTTATAAGTTGGGGTGCTTTTTTTTACTTTTCTTTTGGGGATTTTTTTTCATTTTGCTGCTTCTTAAGGAATAGGGTTTTCTGATGAGTGACCATAGAAATAAAGGTGGTTGAATCTGTATAGAAATAATTTTAGATTTCCAAAGGAGCATAATTTTTCCAGAGTATCCGTTCGGCATCATTGTAGTTTTTAGTTTTTTGCGTTTTGGTTTTTTTTAATAAAACTTAGAACGTTATATGATATATTTAATAAAAAAAATAGTCAAAGTTATTAGAATGATCATTATTTTGAAATCTGACTACAAAAAAGTCCAAACCACTTTTTGTAGTTTTTCTGTGTTTACAGTTTTGACTTTATTTTGGTTTACTATGTTCCTAGCTTTTAGTTGACCAGAATTTTGATGTGTTTGCCATTGTACAGCTGAATGTTAATCAAGCAACAAGAGAGTATTTAGAACGTTATGTGGAGAAGAAGAAAGAGAACTTAAATAAACCTAGTGAGACTGAAGTTGAGGAAGCCAAGAAAGAGGGAGAAAGTGCACCTGATGCTGAGAAGAGTGAAATGAAAGAGAAGGAAGAACCTGCTAAAATTGCTGCAGAAGAGCCCAAGAAGGATGCAAATGAGACTGAGAACAAGGAAAATGATATGGCCAGTTTTGGCCTTGTTACGGATGAGGATCGTGATGTTGATCGAGAGGCTTTGGATAAGCTCGCTAATATGATAGAAGAACGCATAAAGACTAAACCTCTACCTCCTCCGCCACCAGCACAGAAGGTTGCTGATGGCACAAACAACTCGAACTCTGAACTGCCTGCTAAATCCGGGGACAAAGACTCTGATGTTAACCCTGTGAAAAACGGTAAGTCGAAGAAAGCTTTTAATTGTTACTTGATGATATTATGTATGCACTTTCATAATTATGGAATCAATGTAAGTTTAGTATTAATTATTCTCAACTATGCTAACCTTTCTGAGGTAACTGCAGAAGATAAAATGGACGATGAGACGACAAGTGAGTCTAAACCTTCAAATAGAGCTGGAACAGAGTCACCTGATAGAAGTAGAAGGTATGATAATAGGAGTCGTGACCGTGATCGACGAGACAAGGAGAGAGAGCTTGATAGATTGGAGAGAGAACGAGAACGTGAAAGAGCAAGGAGAGAGAAGGAGAGAGACTTGGAGATTCTAAAGGCTGAGCGGTTTTTCAAAGAGCGCGTTAAGGAATGGGAGACTAGAGAAAAGGAGAGAGAATATGAGCGGAGGCGTGAGAGGGAGAAGGAGAAAGAAAGGGAACGTGAACGGAGGAGGCTGGTTGCTGAGCAAGAGGATGAAAGCGACGATGATTCTAGGAAAAGAAGACGTAAGTCTGAAATTGAGGATAAGAGGAGGCGACGACGGAGGGAGAAGGAGGATGATATGGCAGACAGACTTAAAGAAGAGAAAGAAATTGTGGAGGCCAAAAAGAGAGCCGAAGAGGAGCAGCAGAGGCAACAAGTAAAACAGGCATTGGAGCTTCCTTCTGTTTCAGTTGATAATGGAAGTGAGAAACCTGCTTCACCCTTGCCTGAAGTTACTGCCAGTGAGATCAAAGATGATATGGAACAGGATCATGATTCTGAAGCTATTCTTGCCCCTGCCCCTGCCCCTGCAAGCCATACTGGTTAGTGGTTGTACAGTATTAGTCTTAATCTTTATGTTTTATTATTGATCCCGGCTTCTGCTTCTCAATGCCATTCTCTTATTTCCAAATTTAATTGTTATCTGGCTTCTCTTTGACAGGTGATGGGGTCATTGAAAATGGCGGTACAGATGAACCTACGGTAGCACCTGGCTCAACACCAGATGTCAAGCATGTGGGCAATGCCCCAGCCAAAAAGCTTGGATTTGGTTTGGTGGGCTCAGGGAAACGAACGGCTGTGCCGTCTGTCTTCCATGAGGAAGAGGATGATGATGCACAAAAAGAAAAGAAAATGAGGCCTCTTGTACCAATTGATTACTCTACTGAAGAACTTCAAGCCATACACACAAATGATGGAGAGGCACCTCCAATTTCATCTGCTTCTGCTGAATCTGGTAAGCATATTAATCCTAGAGAAGCAAAGTCTGATGTAGAAAGGGATAGAAGTCGGCGTTCTCATGATAGGTCAAGCCATCGGGACCGTGGACATGAACGTGATGGTGACGTGGCTCCGCGAGGTCGGGAGATTTTGGATGCAAAACAATTGATTGATATGATTCCAAAGACTAAAGAAGATTTGTTCTCATATGAAATTAATTGGGTTGTGTATGATGAGGTAAGTCTTTAACTTTTCTGCTGAATTTTTTTTTTAATATAAATTCCAACTATGGTCTCTCTGTTTCTAGATGTAGGCTGTATTCTTCATAATTAGCGTACTTAGTTCATAACTTCATATCTTAGAAACTGTTGTGCCTCATATCTTAGCATGTGTGGTTCACTGGTTCCTACTTCTTTCCCCATAAATCACTTGTTTGTATACTTTATGCCTTGGCATATTTTGTTCATACGTAGAAAGTCAAAAACTGTGGCTTGTATGTTTCGCACTTGGGACATGTGGTTCATGCCCATCAATTATAGGCTGTATGAGCGGAAGCTTTATGCTCTAAAATTTCTATCCCCAAAAGAATACTTTCTGGTAACTGCTTGGAAACAGCTTCCTTGTGTAGCTATTGGCTTTATGCTTCATATATTATTTTCTAGAGTATATGCCACTGAGGATTCCATGTACGAGATGCATTAGATTCTAAATGTAATACTTCATCTCTTATTGTATGATTGTACTATCCTTTAATTTGTTCCTCATATGGACCTATCAGAAATCACCCTTGCATAGTTGGATATATTGTTTTGGTGGAATTTTCTTTTGATTATTAGTTGTAACTGGATGCGTGCTCATAAATATTACTAACACTAACTCATGTACATGTTCAGAATCGGTTGCATGAAAGAATGAGACCCTGGATTTCCAAGAAGATTACAGAGTTTTTGGGAGAAGAAGAAACCACTTTGGTGGAGTTCATAGTAGATAGATTCCGGGAACATGTTAAGGCTGAGAAAATGCTGGACGTGCTCCAGCGAATTTTGGATGAGGAAGCCGAAATGTTTGTCCTCAAGATGTGGAGGATGCTTATCTTCGAAATAAAAAAGGTGGAGACAGGTTTGACAACAAGGCCAGGAGCGTGAAGCATTTTGGATCTTCTTGTTCCTGCTGGCAATTTTTCTCCTTTATAATTTTTCCATAGTAAAAGAAATTGTAGGCAAATGTGATGTTGAAGCTCCATTGTTATTGTATGTTTTCTATTTTTCTTATTGTAGTTTACAACTTAAATTAGTTAAATGAAATCTAGATTTATTATTGTTTTGGTCTTCAAAAATGTATCATGAACTGTATATGCAAGAAAGAACGTTTTCTTCTATGTACATCGTTTCGACATCTCTTGTACTTTGAGCTAAGCAATACTGGAGTTTCCTTCATACCTTCATAGTTCATATATTCGCTGTACTGTTTGTAAACGCATTTATCAAATTCTTTGGGTGGGTTTACAGACAAGATGAAAAATCCCTCAATCCTTTACACTTTGTTTGAATAGAAGGAAAAGAAAGGAAGAGAAAGTGAGGGGGACAAACTCTCTTGTTTGGGTAAAGGATTGGGGGAAGGAAGGGAAAGGAGGGGGAGGGATCCATCTCCCTCGATCTCTCTTTAATAAGCATTATCTCTCCGAAATTAGAGAGATTTGGAGGGAAAATGGAGCTCACCTCCCCCTCCCTTTCTTCTCTCTTCCCTTCCTCTTCTATCCCTCTCCTTCCTTTCTTTCCTTGCTTCCTATCCAAACAAAACGTTAGTTCAAGATGAAAAGTCATTGAGCAAATGACTTTTGGAAGACATAAGCCTTACGAAACCCATTTTGATAACCAATAATTTACTCCTTATTTGTTACTCTCTTTGTCAGTTGTTGCATTACACTTTGTAGGCCTTGTTTGGTTTGGTGGAAAACAATTTTAATTGGATTTAACTGGATCCCATCATATCAATGGAAAAGACATGGAGTTGGATTTGAAGTCGCAGTGAAGTGACAGAAGAAGGGGTAAAGGAAGTAATGAAATCGCGTAAATGACTGATAAGCATGCAATTATTGACAATGAAGCAAGAAAGCACATAAGACCTCCGATAATTGTTATCTGCTACTTTGGAATATTTTATATCTACTACGTATCTCATAAATAATACCCCAAAAATGCAGATAACAATTAACAGACAGAGGTAGTATATATAGACATCCAATTAAGTAGGTAAAAAGTACTTCGTATTATTTAGGTAATTGTATTGAAGAAGTACATGAACGCATAGAAAACGTAAACACTAGTGCAGGGAAGTTTTATTTAGTTATAAGACCGCACTAGGATTAGTTAGTTAATAGCAGGACAAGGATCAGCCCCAAAGTACGTTGACTTCAATGGAGCCATACTTTCCGGTAATGGTCTTATTGTCACTTTCACCGGAAGCCTTGACTAGAAAGATAGCTTTGCCGTTTGCAATTTCATCGTCGGGAGAAACAGTATCATAGTCCATCAAGTAAGCTTCAATCTCCATTTCCTTGGCTTCTTCAGGCACATTGACTTCGGACCGACTCAAGGGAATGAATTCCCCAGGCCCTTACTTCAATATGCTGACTTTGCGGCTTATCAAAAAGCGAAAATTGACTGCTGATGCCAAATCGACCATTTATATGCCTAAAATAACTAAGATTATAGGCACTTACCTTATATGTAATCTGTTTCACTTGCTTGCAAATTACAATGCCATGCTTGATTGCTTGCCCGCCATTATATAGTAGGAGAAGATCATAAAGTATTCTTTTTTTTTTTTTTTTTTTTTTTTTTTTTTTTTAAAGTTATTTTGTTGTGTCGGGCACTACAAATTCTATTCTTTGCGATAGATAGATTGGAGCTTCCGAGCTTATCAGCATTTTTCCATAAATAAGTTTTTTAAGAAAAATTTATTCTATTCTTATTCGAATGGATTTTTAACGTTTGTCTCATAACACGTTTTATTCTCTTACTATTTTATTATACTTCTTCCGTTCTTTTTTTATTGCATCATAGGGGTTTTGGAGGCAAAATTTGGTAGTGGGAAAAAGTAAGAGAGAGAAACGTAAAAATACAAAATTGTCCATGTAATGTAAAGATAAAATAAAAAGTAAGGGTGAAAAAGTAAGGGTATGTTGGGTATTTGCAGTGTTAATATAGATATTTTTTGTCCTAAAATGGAAGTGATGCAATATTTGTGAAACTTCGCTAAAAGGCAAGTGATGCAATATTAAAAGAACGGAGAAAGTATATAACTGAAAATTTTAAATTTAAGATACATTCCATATAATTTGAGTCGAATAAATTTATATTTCTACATCGCACACCTCAATTATTGGTTTATGATGATAAGGCAATATTCTTATATTCACTGTCCAATAAACCGGTGCCCATAACCTCTGCAATGGGCAACCCCTTGATCATTTGCGGTTCAAAACTAACCGGTGCCCATTACACTTTTTCTACTAGTGAGTCTAATTAACTATTACTGTATTAAGGTATTCTAATTATTTAAAGCTTATCAAAATGGGTAAAAATGGCTAAATTCATTAATGAATTTCAATATGATACCAAGTACGCTTGCTCGATTAGCTGATTTTATATGCTTTATTAAACTAGGAATTCTAGTTTCGTTAACTGTTGATTGTCATTTATTGGGCCACGTGGGGGTCTTGTCAAGTCGACTGCAAGTATCCACATGCTTGGAAGCATCTCTCCACGTGAATGATAGACGTAGGTCGATATAGAATTGACCAATTAGTGACATAGTCCAAATGGAATCATCTAGACCATATTGATAGTCGGTAACATCCCGTACACAGTCATATGTATAAAGCATTATACAAGTAGTTTATTTATTGTAAAGTATAATAGTATCATTGAAATCTAGGGTATTACATACACAATTACACCTTTTTTTTTTTCTCATCAATAGGTTTAATGATTCATACCTATTTTCTAGTCTCTTAAAGATGAGAGAAATTAAAATATATATTGGATTTTTCTTATTTTGATTTGATTATTTTGAAAATGATCAATTCCTTTTTGCTGGTGTCCTTTTATAGGTCCACGCCATCCATTTATACGGTCCTACATTGATTCCATTGCTTAAAAGTAAAGAAATCCATTTTTTTTAAGGATAACGTTAGGCAGGAATATTATAAATCAGAATCTGCTAAAAGTACAAGACTTTGTGTTAGAGATATGAGATATCGGAAAATATATGTGTGATATATTTTCCGTAAATAGCATTAAGAGAATAATATATTTAGAATAATTTATGTTTAAGATATTATTTAGAAAATATATATCTTTAGGATTTATGGTTATGCTAATATATCTTTTAGGAAGATTGTTTCCTATCTTATAAGCTTAGGTTTTATATAAATACTCTTCTACCTAATGATCAATAATAAACAAGCCGTTTCATTATCTCTTTCAGCCAAATTTGTCATGGTATCTGTTTAGGGTAAAATTACCCATGACAATTGTACCAATCCGGACCTGCCACGTGTCCACCATGTGGGCCAATCAGCGTCCGTCACTTGTCACCCAAAGAGGTCCAACATGGACTAATCAAGCCACGCCATGTGGCCCATTATCCTCCAACCTGGAAAACGGCCATCATAGGCCCAATTCCCGAGGCAAGCCCAATCAGTCCAAGGTTTTCCCAGAAAACCTAGTATTGGGCACGTACTTCGAGGCTATATAAACAAGTCATTAGCCTCCCTTAAACGGGAGAATCATCTCACCTAGAGATGAGTAAACACACGTGCATACTAATTGTTAGACCAGACTTAGCATTTGCACTCCCCGATCTCTCCTCTCCCTAGAGGAACCAGATCACCCTCTTTACTTTTCCGCACCATTTACTCTACATACAAGTACTAACTTGACCTTCGGAGGCGGAGCTCCCACCACCAAGAGTCTCCATTGTTTTGCAGGTACACGCGCAAGGATACCAGTCCCGGAATTGTAACTCTCCCGCAGGACATCAAAAAAACCCCGAAACAGTATCAACAGCGGATTAGAGTGTTTATAAAAAGTTTCCCCCTAACGGTGGGTTAGAAAATTAAACCTACCTATGGGATTCATGAACAATTTTTTTTTAATTAAGTAAATTGTGCACTTGGGTGTGATGTTTTTTAGTGTAGGATTGTGTTGTCCAACTACATTTATTAGTTGGAAATTAACACTACTAGAAATAGGCCAATTTACGACGGACCAGTTCCGAGGGACATGAAATCCGTCGGAACGTTCCGACGGAGTTAAAATCTGTTGGAAATTTACGACAGATTTCCTACGGAATACAAATCCGTTGGAATTTATGGGTTTTCCGACGGAATTCCGTCGGAATATAATTAAATAATAAAAAAAAACACAAACCTAAAAAACCCTACAAAACCCGGTTCCCCCTCCCTCCCCTAACATTTCGGTTTTCTCTCTCCTCTCCTCCCCGCCTTTCTTCTCTTTCTCTCTCCTCTATTTCCTTCTCTTTCTCCTTCCTCGCCCCTTTCTCTTTCTCCTTCCTTCTCTTTTCTTTCTCCTTCCTCGTCCCTTTCTCTCTCTTCTCCTTCCTTCTCTTTCTCCTTCCTCTATACGCCCCTTCACCTTCCTCTATTTGGAATTTTGTGACGGCGTTTTCCGGCGGATGGTGTGACGACGAGTGGTGTGACGGTATGAATGGGTTTTTTGGTCAAATTTGACCATGAAAAAGTCTAGATATAGACTTTTTCATGGTCAATTTTGGCCTTAATAAACCAAATTCGAATTCAATTTGGGTTTTAAGGTATGTTTTTGTGTTATTAATATTTTTTTTGTTTGATTTTTTGTACGAATTTGGTTTGGTTTTGTTGTTGATTTGTTGTACGAATTTGGTTTGATTTTTTTGTTCGAATTTGGTTTGATTTTTTTGTTCGAATTTGGTTTGATTTTTTTGTTGATTTTTTGTACGAATTTGGGTTTTCCGGGTTATAATTAGGGTGGTGGGTTATGTTTTTCGGGTTAGGATGAGGGTGGTGGGTGGGTTTATCGGGTTAGGGTGGTGGATGTGGGTGGTCTGGCAGGTGGGTGTGGGTGTGGGTGGGGGTGTGGGTGGGTGGTCTGGGCAGGTGGGTGTGGGTGTGGGTGTGGCTGGGGGTGGGTGGCTGTTTTTTTTATTATTATTGAATTTTCCGTCGGAATATGCCGTTTCCGACGAAAAATTCTGTCGGAATCCACTTCACCTCCGACGGAAAATTCCGCTGGAAATTTGCGACGGAATTACGGTTAAAGTCAAAACCAGCCCCGACAGAATATATTCCGTCGGAAATTCCGTCGGTAGGGCCTTTTCCGACGGAAAATCCCTCGGTATAAGCCAAATTTTCTACAAAGGTGTTTCCGACAACGTGTTCCGACGGAAA